AGTTACACAGTAGACTTTCTGGGCTAGTCCTGCTTCTCCACTTTATATCTGGCTGTCCTCAGGGATATTTCTCCCTTCTGGCACTCCCAATGCTTCCCATGGTTTGAGATGAGAGATGGGTCTTTTGCCCTGAACCCAAGATGGTGGAGAAGTTTATTGTTTCCCTTGATCTCACTTTTTCCAGTGTAGAAGCCATGAGTTTGGGGGAGATTTTGTGTGTGCTTGGTGCCAGCAGGCTGTGGGGAGGGCCATTGTAGATATGGATGTCTGATTCTCTTACTGTCTGGTGAGATCTTTTTCATTTCTCTGTGTCTCCAGGAACTGTCTCCTACCCATATTTGAGTTGTGGGATATTGCTGGTGATAATTTTGGTGCTGTATACTTGATTTTTTTTTGTTGGGGGTGCAGGGAGAGTAGGGAACTATTAGGTTGGTGCAAAAGTAATTGCAATTTTCTCCATAGCTTGCTTCTGCGCTGCCATTTTGGAACCAGAGATCTCAAAGTTTCTATTGTTCTGGTTACTAATTTGCGAGTCACAGCAGGAATCTTTAATTTATTTACTTCTCTTAATAACTGATAGAACAGGTAGTCAGAAAAAAAAGTCTGTAAGACTATATAGACAGTTTGAAAAACACAGTTACCTCCCTAGCCTAATTGGCATATATACACACATACCTTTCAAATACACATGTCACAATTTCAAAATTGTATATATGCTTGGTCCTAAAGAAAGTGTCAACAAATTTCAAAGGATTAAAATCATATAAAGTGTGTGGTCATAGCAGAATTAATCTAGAAGTAAGATAATGGAGAATTTCATAGGTGTAGGTGTTAAGAAACACCTTTCTGAATAGCCCATGAGTCAGAGAAGAAATCACAATGAAGTGAGAAAAATTAGTTGAGCCAAATAATGATGAACATGCTATATATTAACACCAATAGAATGCAACCAAACTTGTGATTAAAGTGAAATTTAAAGGCTAAAATGTTTATTTTAGAAAAGAAGTATTGTTGACTTTTCAGCCAGCCTCAGATTGTATCTCAAGAAATTAAAGAATAGGCCAGGCGTCCCCAAACTTTTTATATGGGGGGGGGGGGCAGTTCACTGTCCCTCAGACTGTTGGAGGGCCGCCACATACTGTGCTCCTCTCACTGACCACCAATGAAAGAGGTGCCCCTTCTTGAAGTGCGGCGGAGGGCCGGATAAGTGGCCTCAGGGGGCCGCATGCGGCCTGCGGGCCATAGTTTGGGGACGCCTGGAATAGGCTGTTAAAGCCATATAAAATATTAATAGAAAGAGGGTAACAATGAAGATAAGAGCAGAAATTAATGCAGGAGAAAGCAGACACACTAAGGAAAGGTTCGTCTCTAAAGTCCTTGTGAGGCACAGCTCTTAAAAAAAAAGAGAGAGAATGGTTTAAATAACCGTTATAAAGAAAGAAGGGATATCACTATGAATCTTACAGACATTTAAGTGATTAAGGGGACATTCTGAGTTACTTTATTTTAGTAATTTTGAATATTTAGATGAAATGTAGAAATTCCTAGGAAAACACAGAACAACAACTAGAGAAACACCAGTATTACATACTATTTTCCAGAGAATACAAAAGAGGGTGCCTATATATTTTTCCAACTCTACAGTGCTAATTCAGTTTGAGTCCAGCATTACTTTTGTATCAAAACCTGGCGTAAATACAACAGAGAGGAAATTACAGGTCAATCTCACTCATAAAAGTACATGTAAAGATTTCAAACAGAGCAATATCAAACAAAAATCTAGACATGTGTAAAAATTGATATGTGAGGGCCAAGATTGTTTATCCTAGGAATGTAAGATTGGCTTGATACTAGAAAATCATCAGTGTAATTTACTGCATAAAAACAGAAAAGCCAGTCGCCTCAAGAGATGTTGGAAAGCACTCGATAAAATGCGGTATTCAGTCATGATGAAAACTCTGAGCTGTCAAGTAATAGGAGGGTTTTTACCCAGATAAAAGGTATCAATAAAATTATTGCATGAAAGATCATTTATTTATATGCTTATTTTTTGAGACAGAGTGTCACTTTGTTGCCCAGGCTGGAATGGAGTGGCGCAATCTCAGCTTTGCAACCCTCTGCTTCTTAGATTCAAGTGATACTTTTGCCTCAGCTTCCCAAGTAGCTGGGATTACAGGCACATGCCACCATGCCTAGCTAATTTTTGTGTTTTTAGTAGAGACAAGATTTTGCCATGTTGGTCAGGCTGCTCTTGAACTCCTGACGTCAAGTGATCCACCTGCCTCAGCCTCCCAAAGTTCTGGAATTACAGGCATGAGCCACCTTGCTTCACGTGAAAGATTATATTTTTAATGGCTTAATTGAGAAGGCTTTTCCTCTAAAATCAGGAAATAAAGATACTTGTTATGAACACTTCTTTTGAGTGTTGTATTGTGCTTTCTAGCCAGTGTATGAAGATAAAAAGAAATACATTGTGCACAGATTGGAAAGGAAGAAATAAAGCTGTCAGTTGCAGATGACATGGTTGTGTATGTAGAGGTAAAAACCTTAATGTAAATTATTAGGAATAATAAAAGATTGTAATACTTAAAACTCTATTAATAATATAAAATAATAAATCTAATGAAAGATACTGAAGACTCCTATATCGATACTCAAGACCCTCCCCAGATTGATATGTTAGCTTTTGTGCAACCTCAAAGTCCTCAAAATTTCTTTGGTAGAAACTGATAATCAGAATGTAAAACTTGCTACACACAAAGGACTGATAAGAGCCAAAGCAGTTTTGAAGAATGTAACAGGAAGACACTCTAATGGTCATCTAGATTTCATATAAAGCTACAATAATTAAGACACTATAGAGTTGGCAAAAAGATAAGCATATGGATCTGTAGGAGAAAATAGAGCCACACAGATACTTGATTTATGTACTTCAGGCAAACCTGCAGCACAGTGATGGTGCTGGATCATTTGGACAACCATATTGAAACAAATAGTAAACTTGATCCCCACTTCACACCATAGGCATAGATCAATTTCAGTTGGATTGGGAATGCAAATGTGACAGGTAAAATAAAGCTTCTACAAGATAATATGAGGCAATATTTTAATGACCTTGTGATTGAGAAACATTTGTTAAACAGGGTTCTAAAGAAGTAACTATAAGCTGGGCGCGGTGGCTCAAGCCTGTAATCCCAGCACTTTGGGAGGCTGAGGCGGGTGGATCACGAGGTCAAGAGATCGAGACCATCCTGGTCAACATGGTGAAACCCCATCTCTACTAAAGATACAAAAAATTAGCTGGGCATGGTGGCACGTGCCTGTAATCCCAGCTACTCAGGAGGCTGAGGCAGGAGAATTGCCTGAGCCCAGGAGGCGGAGGTTGCGGTGAGCCGAGATCGCGCCATTGCACTCCAGCCTGGGTAACAAGAGCGAAACTCCGTCTCAAAAAAAAAAAAAAAAAAAAAAGAAGTAACTATAAAGGAAAAGATTGCTGATTTGGACAGAATGAAAGGGAAGAACTTGATCAGACACTGTTAAGAGTAAAAAGGCAATTCATAGAATAGCATAAGATATTTGCAACACAGATAACCAACAATGATATCTAATCCAGAATATATAAAGGGCTTAGAAATCAAAGAAGAAAAAGATTGACAACTCAGGAGAAAAATGGGTAAGAGACTTATTTCAAGCAGTTATTCACAAAAGGAGATAGCTAGATAGCTAATAAAAATCAGGGGAATACAAACAAAAACTGCAATGATAGAGCATTCATACCCACCAGAATTGCTAAAATAAACACTGACAGTTGTAATGTTGCATAGTATGTGGAAGTAGCACAGACTTTTGTATACTCTTGTGGAAGTATAAATTACTAGAACCAATTTGGAAAGCTACTTGGAATTTTCTTCTAAAGCTGAACATACACATATCCTGTGATATTTTCACGCTTGGGTATGTGCCCCAAAAAATTGAATGCTTGTTTACACCAAAAGACTTTCAGTAGAAAGTTCATAACATCACTATTTGTAATTACTCAAACTTCAAATAATCCAAATGTTCATTAATGGCAGAATGGTTAAATAAACATGATGTATGCAAAGCAATACCATAGAGCAGTGAAAATGAACAAACCATAGCTGCATGTAACAAGTGGGTGGCTCTTATAAATGTAATTTTGAGAATAAGAGAGCAGATACATTATGGCTGGGCACGGTGGCTCATGCCTGCAATCCCAACACTTTGAGAGGACGAGATGGATGGATCACGAAATCAAGAGTTCAAGACCAGCCTGGTCAGCATGGTGAAACCCCATCTCTACTCAAAACACAAAAATTAGCCTTGCGCGGTGGCAGGCATCTGTAATCCCAGCTCCTTGGGAGGCTGAGGCAGGAGAATTGCTTGAACCTGGGTGGCAGAAGTTGCAGTGAGCCAAGATTGCACCACTGTTCTTCAGCCTGGGTGACAGAGTGAGACTCTATCTCAAAAAAGAAAAAAAAGAGCAGATACATTATAATACATGTTGTATAACTCCATTTATATAAAATCCAAAAACCTACGAAAGTCATTTATGATGTTAGAAGTGTGGCTAATACCTTTTGGGAGGTGGGAGGAATTAAGAAGAGGGGCTTCTGGTGTTACTGTTTGATTTCTTAATCAGATTGACTTCATGTGAACATTCACTGAGATACACTCTTAAGTTGTGTATAATTTTTTGTAATTGTGATATTTCAGCAAACAAGTTAAAATATATTTAATGAGGGAAATAGATTTTCTTTTGTTTTGCTGATTTACTGTTTTATGGCAGACCTTTGTATCAGCAGAAAGCTTAACTTCCATCAGACTGATATATCTGTAGATTGTACCCTAGATAATTGTTCATTGTGTTTGCCAAGGTCTGTTAGGAACACATTTGAATTAATATACACAATCAGGATTTGTTGACATCCTTGATTTTACCAGTTATTGGTTTGACTTTATAAAGAATTATTGTCTTCTAGGTCGTGATAAATTGTGCCATTCCTAAAGGGTTGAAGTACAATCAAGCTACACAGACCTTCCACCAGTGGCGAGATGCTAGACAGGTGTATGGTCTCAACTTTGGCAGCAAAGAGGATGCCAATGTCTTCGCAAGTGCCATGATGCATGCCTTAGAAGTGTTAAATTCACAGGAAACAGGTAAGGTGTCCATGGTTTACTTGTATTTTCTTTCCTTTTTTTTTTTTCCCCCCAGAGCCAAAGCAAAACTGAAGGTTTATTTGTGTTGAACTGAAGTGCCGCATATATGTTAAAGCAAATCTTTTTGTTAACTTTTTGATCATGTATATATTTGAAGTGTTTCTTGAACTTTTATTTTCTATAGAAATGTCAACTTTTTATTGATGATAAATGTATAATCTAGAAAGATAATCCTGTGAGTTTAGTTCTCTTTAATTCTGTAACCCCTTTATTTGAAGCATTTAGGTGTGTTTCATCCTGCTTTAGAAACTCTTGTTGCCCAGAGAAGATGCAGTGGATAGGAATTACGCTTATTTATCATCTTTGTGTAAAGAAACACATATGTTTTCTGAAAGATTTTTTTGTTTGTTTATTTGTTTTTTTGAGACGGAGTTTCGCTCTTGTTACCCAGGCTGGAGTGCAATGGTGCGATCTCAGCTCATCGCAACCTCCGCCTCCTGAGTTCAGGCAATTCTCCTGCCTCAGCCTCCTGAGTAGCTGGGATTACAGGCACGCGCCACCATGCCCAGCTAATTTTTTGTATTTTTAGTAGAGACGGGGTTTCACCCTGTTGACCAGGATGGTCTCGATCTCTCGACCTCGTGATCCACCCGCCTCAGCCTCCCAAAGTGCTGGGATTACAGGCTTGAGCCACCGCTGCCCGGCCTGAAAGATGTTTTTGAAACCATGACTGAGCCCAGGAATTTGAAGTAGGACTAGGTATCCTTCCTAGTAGATGAAAATGTGATTCTTGTTTTTTTTTAAAGATTTTAGGAGTGCCCTCAGGTGGTACAAGTCATGAATTGCATCTCCTCTGATAGTGCGTATTGGTTAGAAAGATAATGTAGAAATCACTTTTAAAAAGGCTCCAGTTTTAAAAACTATATATATCAAGGATGAGCTCAGTTTTGTCGTGGTTTGAAAAATAGAAAAATATACCAGTGTGTGGTTATTTCTTTGAAGAGACAGATTTTCTAATCAGAAAATAACAGTTAGGTATAAAAACACAAATATGATTACTCTTGCCTATATTGTATATTTAGCAATGATTTTAATGATATAAATGTGCTATAAATAAAATTTTTATATTTTAAGAGGAAGGAGTTACAGACAGATGAAAGTTTGACACTTTTTGAAAGTATAGAGTATCAAAATCTGTTAAAAATATATACTTTGCCTTATACTAAAAAGGATTGAGGCATATAGCTCATGTGTGTTAGTCTGTTTCAGATATTAATTTCAGAGCAAGAAGACATTTTGCGATCTTGCAGAAACTTTAAGTTGTTATGCCCTTAGATGTTTTATGTCAGATCTTCTTTTGAGGAAATTAATATCAATATATAACTTACACAAAATTTGCCTATTTAATCTAGTTGAAAATAAACCACAAGAAACTTGTCTTGGTTTGTCTCTAAGTCCGGAAAATAGCATGGGAAAGTCTGTACAGTCTTGTATGTAGGTCATTTTTCTAAGTCTCTATGCTTATCTTGCAGGTATTAGTGTTTTATTAGCATGCTATCATAGATAAAGAAGTGCTGTCATTTACCATAGTTTTACCGTAGGGAAGAAGCTAGAATTGTGATTCTTAATATTTTGTTGGATAGGTCAGTTACATGATAAACAATTAAGGGACCAAAGTTTGGAGAGTAGATGTATGACATCTGGCTTTATACATCTGTTTTAGAACAAACTAGTAGTATTTTTATTTTTAAACTTTCAAAAGAGTATCCATTGATATTAGGAACTAGTTACTGATATTAGGAACTTAGGTTAGGAACTAAATTTTTTAGTTCCTTTTCTAAAAGTAGTTAAAATTATTCATCTTGTCATTGACTTTTTATTTTTAGCCAAATGGAAAGGATTGTTTCTATCAATGAGTAGTCTTATAGTTTGATTTCAAAATGCAAATGCTAATTAATGTTTTTTCTGATATATAATTTTTTTTTCTTTTCTTTGAGAAGAAGTCTATCTCCATTGCCCAGGCTGGAGTATAGTGGTGCAGTCTCTGTTCACTGCAGCCTCCACCTCCCGAGTTCAAGTGATTCTCCCTCCTCAGCCTCCCAAGTAGTGGGGATTGCAGGCACTTACCACCATGCCTGGCTAAATTTTGTATGTTTAGTAGAGATGGTGTTTCACCATATTGGCCAGACTGGTGTCAAACTTCTGACCTCAAGTGATGTATCTGCCCGCCTCGGCCTCCCAAAGTGCTGGGATTATAGGTGTGAGCCACCGTGCCCAGCCTTTTTTCTGATCTTTCATCTTTTGAAATTAATGAGTCTTACTGTGGAGAGACTCAATTACATTCTTTATTATAAAGTAATAAGCATTAAGAAACAATGGTCCACATTATAGAAAGTTTGGTAAATAGGAAAATCATTTCACAAGCTACACAAGCATTTTAGTATGGGAAAAAATAGGATTATTGTTAGATGATTTTGATATTTTTTCTCTTCTCAGTCACTATCTCAACCACTCATACTCTAGGGGCTGAGGAAAGAGAGGTAATGGTGGAAGAAATGGGTCCATCACAGCTGCTTCTGTGGATCAGGTCACTGGCAAGGAAGCTTTTAGTTCTGTAGTTTCTTCATCATGGAAAACAAAGTGTATAGAATGGCAAAGTTCTAAATAGTCTGATTTATTTAGAGAATGACTCTTTTCTTAAATTATTGTAGTTAAGTACTATTTCTTATTTCTGATGGCCTTAATTAGTGTGAAAGTAGGAGCATGGGAGAGAATAAGATGTTAAGAATCAGGAGTGTTCTTGGGAATAGTTATAATTTCTTACGTAGATTCCCCAATGTGGAAAAAGTGTATACCCTACCTCAACATCATATGGGCCACCTCCCCTTTATCTAAACAAACATACACAATAATGTTGCCTCTCAGCTTGATCATACCCTGCCAAAAATCTTTGCTTTGGGTTCACAGACAGTTTGCTGCTGAAATAATCTACTGTCTTTCTTCCAAAACCAAGTTAAAAAGCTTAACTTGCATGTTTTTTCCCTTTACAAACTGTAGCCTGATAAAACTGATGAGAAGCAGAACAAACTTATTGATAAAGCAACTACAAATATTAGTCTTGCCTGTTTCTTAATGTTTTACCACTTTTTAAAACATTTTTTCATATTAAACATTTCTGTTTTTATTTTTATTTATTAGGGGCTGATATCAGTATTATCCACTGTTGTAATTGGCTGATCTTTCTCAGTGATTTTCAGACTTCTAAAAGTTATGAACATTTTTGTGCAAATGAGATCTTTGGTTAGTTCAGTGTATAAAATGGACAAAAAAATATGGTGCTTCTCTGATTGATGTGGGGTTCAGGATGCACAACCACTGAGACACCTCCATGGTTCTCTAGAGCTGAATTCGAAAATTACTAGCTCACATTTTGTGCCAAAACCAATAATCACATAATTTTCCTTTCTTCTCTCAGTCCCCTAAATCCACAAATATTTAAATTTACAAAAAAACAGCTTTCTGGGGGGCTAGCCATACCAACCTTTACAAGGTGCTCTGTGTGTTTGTATAATATTTCCATTTCTTTAATGAAAATGGTGGGTGGCAGAAATGTTTTCCTTTATTTTGTTTTTAACTTGGTATGCAATTATCTAATATACAGGAAAGTACAGAAGGTGCTAAATACAGTGAGTTATATTTGGAAGTTAAAAAACACAAATCACATGTTCTAACATTTTTGAAAAAGAGCTGAATTAGTGCTCTTCCTTTTATACCAAATGCTATAGTGTATTTTTTCTTTTCTCCATGGAAATGGATTCAGTTTTAAATGCATGTGTTACCTAAAGTGATATTTTTGATTTCTCTATTATTTATCCAGTACATTAATAGATTTTTGTAGGTAATAGTTATGGATTATATAAACTACAAAGTTAATTTTTGCAATGGTTGGTGGAGGCAAAATTGCTCAACTGTTTTATTTTGTAAAAGGTTTAAATCATTTAAAAATAGAGAATAATTGTTTTAATCCATTAAAATGTAAGAAAATAACCAGTAAGATTATCCCACTGCTTTTGTTCTACTTAAGATGAAGCATGCCTTTTTAAAAAGAACACCCCAAAGTAAATATTTTACCATTATCTAAAAGACTACTTTTGCTGGATTTTATTTTTTAATCTGTTTAACGTGAGAACATAGTCAAAAGTCATTCCTTCCTTAGGGTTGAAATTTTCTTCGGGTTTTATAGTAAGTACTGAGATTCCATTTTTTTATGATAATTTGGCCTGGCATACCTTCCAATATGAGCATTTGTATGAGTTTTATTACAGCATTAAAAAAATCTATGATATGTTTGGAATTAATTGGATTTTAAAAATCTCAGTTTCTAGAAATACTTTATAGTGACAGTTTTGTTTTTTAGTCTTCCAGATTGCTGATATTAATGCAAAAAATATTAAGCTTATATCACAAAAATATTTTCAAATAAACATATTTTTTACAAATTGTGTTAGGCACTGGGAATAATACAAACATGATAAATAAAGCCTGTCCCTTGCCTGATTTCACAGTTGGGCTAGAACTGCCAGAAACAAGGCCAGTAAAATTAGGATACAGCTTGTGAATGCAGTGTGAAGAAAGGCCTTCGGAATACCAAAGAAAATTCTAGGGTCAGGGAAAGCTTTGAAGAGAAGATGATGTTTCAGCTATGTTTTGAAGAATGGGAAGGGCTCATCAGTGATAGAACATTCTAGATAGGTTTGGAAGCATGAGAGCATGGAGCAATTGGGAAATAACAAATACGGCATGATGTGGCTTGGACATGAGAATTCATGTGGTGGGGGTCGGGCAGGGCATCGCAAGAGAAGGTTGGCAAGGGCCTGGTGCTGAGTATGCATTTTATCATGTAGGTGATGAAGTCATTGATGGAAGCTAAATAAAGGATTGACATGATCAGGTTGGTGCTTTAGGACAAGTGTGATAGATTGATAAGCATGCAGGTTACA